TTACCATCACTTGTTCAATGCCTTCAAACAATAATACATTGTCGCCGACAAACACATCCCAATATAACTATGAGAGAGTGGGCACCATATCTCCCACTTTAGCCTCACTGGTTCACCAGAATGGTAACCCCCGGTACCAAACGTCTACATTACTTAATGGCCATAAAATGAACGGAAATCTATCTCGTAATGGAAATGCTATGCGTTATCCGAATGGCATCTCTCCATCAAAAGTATCGCCAAATATAACAAACACAGCGAATATAAGCCAATATTCTGCGGCCAAACAGCCATTACTGGATATCTCCAGAACGGCAACCAATTTGCAAACTAGTCCTCACTTAAACGGGTCCCGAATAGGGCCGCACTCACCCAAAGCCAGTAATGACTATTCAAATAGCGATTCAGAGATGAGTGAACATGGATTACATCAAGTGTTGGCCTCTTTGGCTCTCATGTGTCTCTTATCACTATTGATGGCATTTTTGGCGCTTTTCTTTTTGCAGCGGACGTGTCCTATAAGTGCTCTGACGGACAGTACAGACAATGAGGAAAACAGTTCAAAAGTGAACAAAAATCTAAACCAAATGCCAATGAGAATTGTTAGCAATTCTCGAGAATATGTTCGTGTGTTTCAAATATCAGTTTCATTGAGCACTTTAACCATTTCGTTAGACCTCTGCTGTCTATTTGTCTCATGTATTCAATTCTTATCAGCCGTTAAGCTAATGAATACACCGTTCGGGAGAAAAAGGTTAGTTTTAGGCAAACATTCAATTTTAAGGAGAGAAATTTACGTAAAATTTTAAACGTCTTGAATACTCAAAAATTTCTTCTGAAGTGTGTAAGCACACCGTCGACAGCCGCGAAAGGAGCAGAGTTAGGGATAGAAAAAGTGGCCATTAAGACTATTGGTTTTCAATTCATTTCAGACTTATTTAATTAATTACATAATTATTGACAATTACTTTTAGGTGTGATTCTCTTCACGTTTGTCAACTTCGACGAAGTGCCAGCACTGGCCACGAGTGTAATCATAGGGTTGGCCATTATTTTCTGCGGAATCGCTTCCGTGCAGAATGTCTATCTATGGCAGGTATGGGTCTCTAACTAAATACAATTCATTAGTTATTCACAACTGTTTTTACATTCAATTAGTGGGAGAAAACGAAAGCGAGTCAAGAAAGGTCTGAAAGTCGTATAATTCATTTAAGAGATTCCGGTTATTTGCCATCCATTGAGTTGTCAACTTTGGTGTGATTTTTAATGTTATTATTTTGTATAGATTTTTGGTACAAATGTTAATATTTTAAATATATTTAAGATTTATAATTTAGATAAAGAGTCACAAACGAAAGGGTAAAATAAATGCAGTTTTTATATCATTTAAGTCACACATTATTTACTTGTATCCAAATAATAATACCATTTATTCACAATTCTATAATTTATTGTCAATATCATTGTCTGCATTTCAATATATCATAAAAAGCAATATATTTTTACAATAAAAAATGACATTTTAATTAACACTCAAAGAATGGATTCATTATTTATCATATGTTGTCAAATGATGTAACAAGTATTGGTCGCAATACCGATCATTACAATTGAAACTACAAATAAGCCAATAAACGTTTGATATACTCATCAATTATTACTGCAATATTAACAGTTAAATAAACAATTTAACCCATTCTGGTTAACTATTGTCTCAATGTATGTGAATACAGTATATCAACATTATATTCATTTACAAATTGCTGCAACCCTGAAATGAATGACCATGGTCAAATTATCAAATATAATGGAGGTTAGCATAACTTACATTTTAAAAATTAAATCGGAAAAAATAAATAAAATATTAATAATATTTTTATTAATAAATTGAATAAATGGCATGTGTTTTACAAACATATTATTTGCGTTTACTTTTAGTATTCTTAGCCTTAAGTCGTTTAACTTTGCGTTTGTTTTGGTGTTTCTTAATCTGTCTTTGATTCATCCATTGAGGATAGTGTCCGAACTCATATTGTCAATATCATTGTCTGCATTTCAATATATCATAAAAAGCAATATATTTTTACAATAAAAAATGACATTTTAATTAACACTCAAAGAATGGATTCATTATTTATCATATGTTGTCAAATGATGTTACAAGTATTGGTCGCAATACCGATCAATACAATTAAAACTACAAATAAGTCAATACAGTAAACGTTTGATATAATACTCATCAATCATTACTGCAATATTAACAGTTAAATAAACAATTTAACCCATTCTGGTTAACTACTGTCTCGATGAATGTGACTACAGTATATCAACATTATATTCATTTACAAATTACTGCAACCTTGAAATGAACGACCATAGTCAAATTATCAAATATAATGGAAGTAAACATAATTACATTTAAAAAATTAAATTGAAAAAATAAATAAAATATTGATAATATTTTTATTAATAAATTGAATAAATGGCATGTTTTACAAACATATTATTTGCGTTTACTTTTAGTATTCTTAGCCTTAAGTCGTTTAACTTTGCGTTTGTTTTGGTGTTTCTTAATCTGTCTTTGATTCATCCATTGAGGATAGTGTCCGAACTCATCCAATAGTGATTTACTACTTCGTGTAGTCATCGGCTCTTTCATGTCCACATCAGTGGCCGCGACAACGCTTCCAATCACTTTCATCTCAATGTCTTTGTCTTCGGCTATCATTTCACACAAAACATATCCATTAATGAGATATAAAATGCAAATTAAAGACTGATTATCAGTCGCTTACCGCCGATGGTGTTCGCCTTTTCTTTGGCGTCTCGTTTGTCGCACATGTCCTTCAATTTGGTCAGTTCTTTGTCTCCATATCTGATCCGTTTGATTGTTTTCATCTTTCGTTTCCATTTACTCCTCAAACTCTTAGCCATTATTTCTAAATTCAATTCACAATCACTACTAAACACAACAATTAATGCCAATCAGTGTTTGTGTGAAACACGTGTTGTGTGTGTATTGAGTGACATGTGTTGCCATCTATTGAGCACTCGATTCACATATCATTTCAATTGCTTTGCATTCACTTCACTCTAAATGCATGCAATTATTTCTTTCAATAATTAATGCAAATTATACTGTATTTGCAAATATTGTCAGTTTTCGCATCGTTTCAATGTTTGACAGCATTTAATGATACGAAAGCTAACATCGATTTTAATGTTAATTGCTATCAATTATATATTAACGCATATATTCTACATATTTCCCATTTAGAGAGAGAGAGAGAGAGAGAGAGAGAGCTAATTAATGATTGTAAGATTTGATGCCCCTCTTATAACGAATGCTCAATTAAATTGAACAATATTTGTATTTAATGACAATTGATTAAAACGAGTTATTATTGTATCTTAAGATAATATTAAAAGATAATATTAAAGATGTTACGAGTATATGTTTAACAATAGCCATACAGTAAGCCAATGTAGAATGCACATGGTGGTAGAATGTGTGTTCATTTCCATAAGGGAAGGATTAGTGGAATGAGCTAACTCGTGCAATTAGAATATTGCCATACAAATATGTGGTCAAACATAGGCATTTAAGTATATTCATACTGTATGAATCATACATTTAATTCTTATTCAGTATAACTGAAGTAGAATATGTTTACCTGAATAATTTAGACATTGCAACAATTACAATTAACCTAGCACAATTGTACGTTACATTTCCTCTCCATGAGAAAGTCTAACGATATGATTGTGAATACAATGAAACCATTGGTTATGAAACAATAAAAACATAAATTTTATTATTTTATTGTCTTGGTCAATTTATGGATTATTCTACAGTGTAATATCAATGCTTTGGAAAATGCAAATTAAAACAGCGATATTGTGTAGTAAATATATGAATATGTATGATGGTAAATATAAGAATTGTGTGTGAAATGGATGTGAAATATGTATTGCATGAAAGCTTGAATATAATGGACAAGTAATGGTCGTTCACTATAAATGGGTTTCTGTGTAATTGTAGTAAAGGATTGTTTACAAAGCGTTGAACGCTATATAAAGGAGAGCTACTGTTGGAGACTCTACTCTACAATTGAAGTGATGTCTCGTAAAGTATAAGCACTTAAGGCTTAAGACTTGTTTTCGTGTCAAACAAATGCAAAATAGTGTACAAAAAGAAAGAGAATTCGCAAACCAATCAAACGCTCACTTTTCCTAAAC